CCATCTGTCAGGCCAGAGCACCCTTGCAGGATGAAGCAGTGTTTCCAATTCAGGTTTACTCGCAAGCGTTGCTTTGGTTTCCTCTTTCTACCCCTTAATATTAATTACTTACCAGATGACTAATTTACATATCTATTGCAAACAGGCCACATCTTGTTCTTTTCTCTATCACCGTGGCCGGTGTTTTTGTCTACATCAATATCAATCAGTAAACACATTTTCTTTTCAAGAGCATTCATATAAAAATGTTTGCAAGTAAGTGTGCCAGCAGTTCTGGGTTTCAGTCATAAATTGAGATTTGGGGCACTGCCACACCATTCCTTGTGTGAAACTTCGAAAAATCCCTTTAAGAGCTGAATAAATGTTTAACTTTATTGAAAAAAAAATAGTGACTTAGCAAGACCTCAGCATCCAAAGTAAAGAGTCGCATGAACCTGTTCCAAAGGACACGCAAATACCCTGTGCCTGTTTCTAAACACCTCACTGTGCTCACTGAGCTCTGCGTTCACCCCGTGATTAGTGTAAAACACCCACATGTGTACATTAACGGATGCAAAACCTGTCCATCCTTGATATTTCCCCCAGTGAGGCAAACCTAGCAAGAAGTGATTACAGGTCAGCTGAAAGTAGTTGTGGTCACCCGTGTTCCCTGCTTCAGGGATCAAACTTTGTTTGAGGTATTGGGTCGCATTGTGGGAGCTTGGGATTTCTTCAATCTAATGATTGAGTGCTTAAATCTTGGGCTTTAATGAGAAATCAATACTTTTGATTATACAACCATTGTCACCATCCTGTCTATATTACCGCTATATCTCCCATGTGACAGACAGCATGACCGTGTTCTGAGACAATGGTACAAACGAGACTCCCAGGCTTGGGCTTCTGCAGGCATGAACAAGGACGTGTAACTGCAGGTGAGGGGAGAGAGGTCAGTTCTCTTGCCAGAAGAAACGACTGAGAGTCCAAGATCAACTGACATCTATACCCCTTTTTTCTGGTTATTGGACATCTGACTTTCTGTGTACTTAAAAATGTCCTATAACTACAAGATGCCCATACACAGGTGGGCAATAGATTGATTCTTTCAGAAAGATTCTCAGCGCAGTTGGAGGAGCCAACGGCTCTTTGCTGTGCTGATGTCAAAGAGAAATCTGGAATTTCATTATTTTTTACAAGGGCAGGTGTGAGCTGGGAAGACCACACTGCAGAAGCGTTGTCAATGATGATGGTTGTCACCACAAACACAACACAACCATCCAGGCACTACCAGCTCCAGGGATTTAGAGACCAGGGGATCTCCTAAATGCTGTTACAAAAGGGGAGGTGATTTGTGATTTCACAAAGATTTCTGATCTCACAGCCAGTCACTTGAAATTCCAACATGGGTGAATACATATGCCCTGTTCACACCCATGAGAACACATAACTGGATACCCGTAGGTAAATAGTCACACCAGTTAGAGACAGGAAGCAGTTCCAGTGTTTGAAAATTATTGTCATAATGCAAGTCAGGCCTGATGCCTTTCCTAGAATAGTCTTGGGAGATGCTGTGGGAGCTTTAGTCGCCTGTAGGCTGGGAACAGTGTGCTTGGCAAGTGACAGAAGAGCAGGCGTCACCTAGGTGACAGTTTCCTGATCATCAGTAAAGAAGCATGACAGGAGATGTGGCTGGTGAGAAAAGGTACCAAAAAGGTGATTGTTGGCAAGAGAACTAGAGGGCCGCCTAGGCAGGTGTGGGCATGCAGTCTTCTATAATTACTCTCAGAACACAATTGAAAGAATTTCCAAAATGTTTTCTCCAATCAACCTGTGTCCTCCAAGATGAGGAGCTGGCACGTGGGGATGAAGACACCCAATAAGGAAAGAAAAGCCATCAAACATGATGGATAACATGAGACTGGAAAGGGATCACTCAAGCAAGCGCCCCACCTGCATGCATATCCACAGGGGCTTTACAAGAAACTTTTAAGTGGAATTCAACCAAAGAGATGTATAATCAAGATTCAGCCCTGTGATGTGCCCTGCGACTTACTACATGTGTGTATTAGTTAACAACCCTTCCTGTTTACTGAGTCATTTCAATGGCATTATCCACAAACAGGGAACAGTGCCTTTCCTATACAACTGGGCACTAAGCCCACCTTTGTCTGAAGTTCTTCAATTCTTCAACTGCGATGTCATCTACAGAGGAGGTCCTGAAGTAATTCATCTTCCTGTTAGACACCTGCACTAACTTAGGATTCAGGTGTGGGACTGTAACCTTCCCTGTCCCCAATGTGTTTATCTTTCAAACAGAGGCAGCAGCTCTGACAAACCCTCATGAATTTCCTGATTAAATATGAAATTTTCAATCTTCTCAGGCCCCAGAGTCAATATCACAAAGCCGCAAACCATCAGATCAATGGAAAACTAGGTTACCTGAGATTTACTCAGCATCTTAATTGATCCTTTATTGATACAAAGTGGTATATACCCTTATCCTCGCCAGGGACAACAGCCTGGAACATGCATGTGTATATGTGCTCATATGGATAGATGAATAGGATTGTATACATATTTAAGTATACACAGAACACTGCAGATATGGCTCTGTAGCTAACTGTGTGACTGCTATACAGAGAACTTGGGTTCAGTTCACGGTGCCCATATCAGGTGATCTGGAACAATCTGTAACTTTGGTTCCAGGGACTCTAACACCCTCTGGCTTCTGCAGGCACTTCCACTCACATGGCACACATAAACTCACATATGCACACACACACGTACATATAAATAAATATAATTCAGTGTTAAAAGATAACATATATACGATCTGTATATGTACTATATAGCAATCATTCAAAGATTATTAATCATTTTAACAAATACTCTCTCTAAATATTTCATATGCCCAATTGTTATAGGTTTGTATATGTGCCTATTTGTATATGATTATATACGTATGTATAAACACCATAATCAGTCCTTCAAAGAGTACTGGTAATTATACCAAATATCCTCTCCACAATCTTCGACATGCACATTCATCAGGTTTTGATCAGATTCATTATACAAAAGTCTTTATTTTTACACCCAGTCTGCTTTTAAATGTTACAAGATGTTTCCTTTTCAGGCCAAGCTGTTTTATTTTAAAGTAGGAAGCCTTCTCTGTGCACCAATGTAAAACTATGGCCTCTATTAAAATGCCCGAGTTACCGCCTCGTCAACAATGGAGATAATTAAAACTTCAAGTCATTTTAAGGCTAAGTAGTAGGTGTGCTGTGACCTAACAAAAGCCAAGTTAATGTTTGCCGTTGGTCGGGCTACTCACTGGTGTAGGTGAGCTGGAAGCCTTGGGCGGTGTCTGACCCGTTGGTGTTGAACTCCAGCCGCAGGTGGTTGGAGGTGCTGTTTAGCACCAGCCCCAGCAAATCACTTTTTGTGAAGACACCCAGTGATCGCGAGGAACTGTCCTTTCCGTCATAAACCTGGGGAAAGGATGCAGAGGAAGCTGTGCGGTTAGGCAGCAATTTTAACAAGCCATTTGAAACTTTAAGGATGCAGTTTCATTCAGAACTTCGAACTTAGTCGACAGAAATCCAGATGGATGACAGAGCTAAATAATCTATTTTCTTTCCAGTTTTCTTTTCCCATTCACATCACAGACAAAAGAGTCCTAGTTCCATTTTTGGTCAGATCATTTCCCATTCATTGCTTTGAAGGCCAATTTTCATCTTTTTAAAAATTAAGTAAATATCTCTGCATTTCTGGGTCTCATTGCAAAGCATTAGGGGTAGCATCAGCCGCGGCACAGGTATCTCACTCTCTCTTCCCCTCTGTCTATGCACTGAACCACAGCAGCGTTGAAACCATCACCATTTGTAGTCTGGCATGCGAATGTACTGTGGTAAAAGGGTCCTATCACACAGCAATGTAGAGCTTGCTACGAAATCCTACGGATGTGAGATTGTTTCTGAGTAGTGTGGAGTTGAGAGATGTAATCTCTATGAGGAGAAAGAGAGCCCAGAGCTTGGCTCAGAACAGACTTTGGGGATAAGGGTGCAGAACAGAGGGTTAGGGTGAAGTGTGCAGTCTCACCTCTGTGGAATGAGCCCCACACACTGGATGGTTACTTTATGCTGAGCCTGTGACACTTATCCCTCCTGTCCCAGCTGAACTCTTCCTGCCAAAAATCTGACTCTATCTTAGACATTGGGTCACACTGAGTATGACAGTCTTTCCTTTTTTAGTGGTGGTGGTGTGCAGATTGGGAATGGTGTCCTTTTCCTCCCTCACCAAGAGATGAAAACCTTGTGGGTAAAGTTCTCATGGAAAGAAGACTAAAAATGCAGTAGATTCTCTTGAGGAGAATTTAGCATTTCTTAAAGAGCCTACACATGGTCACCAGAGAGGTCTACAGCTTCGACTGATGTCTGGTCCACTCCTACTGTTGCCCCCCTCACAGAATTTGTCTTTCTGCCGATAAACCATCTCGAGCAATGGTTCTCTGCCTTCCTAATGCTGTGATCCTTTACTACAGTTTCTCATGTTGGGGTGACCCCCCAACCATAAAGTTATTTCATTGACTTCATACCTGTAATTTTGCTACTGTTATGAATCTTAATGCAAATGTCTGATAGGCAGGATATCTTATGTGCAACCCATACAGGGGTTTAGACCTATAGGTTGAGAGCCACTGGTCCACATGCTTTCATCAGGTCCATTTCCCACCCACTGTAGAATTAAAAGGCAGGAAAGATCTCAGACGCGCAGGTAGCAGAAGGTTACAAACTTTATTGAAAGTGAAGAAGAACACACTCACATATACAAAGAGGGAAGGGCAGAGACAGAGACACACAAGAGACAGGCAGAGAGACACAGAAAAGGACAGTCAGAGAGACTCCCCACAAAGTGGGAAGAAAATTCAGAAATCAAAACCCATTTTCCCCGAGAGGGCTGTGGTTTTAAAAGTTTCTGGTGGTCTAGGATAGGAATCCTCTCTCCTACCCTTTATTTTGGGTTTATTGGTTTAGACAAAGAAATGGGAGCTGATAGGTCCACAGCTTCAGGTGAACACATTTAGGACAATTCTTGAACATATCCGAGCAGCCACGACCAGTCACTGGCAGGGGAACTGTGCCATCTCTTTGTCCTCGGTCAGGAGGCTAAGGAAGAGGGTGAAAGTTTCTCGTCTTTATTATTAGTCTGCAGGCTCTTTCCCTAGCTGTCTGCCTGCCAAGGATCTGTCTAAGTCCTAGTTCCTCGCAGTCACCTCTCTTCCACAAGGCATGAACCATATGTTGCTCAACAGAATGATCTCACCTACATGTACTCATCAAAAGACAACACATTCAGAAAAATACTTGAGCGATTATTTCACTTCACTGCAATTAAACATGCAAAATACTTGAATTCTAGAAGAAAATACCATTTCTTCACTGAAAGGCTATTGTCATGGGCTCTTGTTCTAAGAATAGACATTACTTCAAAATGTGGCTTTGTCAGATGTAAGAAGAGCCCCTACACTCATTATAATGGGTTATCTGTCCAAGAGAAAATGTCCAGGTCCCTCTGAAAGCCCCTGGGTCCTGTCATATACCAGGCCATTCTCCATCTTATGGGTGTGCCTGTGAAAGTGTGAGGACAGAGAGTAAAGTACGCACAGATGAGCCCATTGCTCAGTATTGAACCCATCTATATAGGGCACAATGGAACCCTTGGCCAAACTCTCAGTGGTCCGTGGGCAGTAACTCATTCATAGTGGAATAGTCTAGATAGGAAACTATTGAAGAAAGTCCTTAAACATTGTGACAAAGATGCTAAGGTGTAGCTCTTCACAGTTGATGCCTTCTGGTGGGGTAAGTAGGAAAGGCCTCAGTTATTTTAAGGGGGATGCCACTGGGAGTTTGGCCATCCTCCAGTGAGTATATGAGCAACACGAATTGGAGTGGTGTATCTTTTTTTTTTTTTTTTTTTTGCACGGGAGGTCACAAGGATAGAAGGGAGGACCTAGGAATAATGGGAGGTGAGTGTGATTGGGATGCATTGTATAAAATTCCCAAATAATCAATAGAAGTATTATATTGAAAAAAAAGAACAATAAAAAGCTTGCGTAATTGTCACTATTCTCAGGACACCAAGTCTTCCAGCCCTGTTCACGTCACCAGAACTCAAGCTCTGTGCCCAGCTGTGAACATCCCTGGATGAGCTCTCAGACAGTGAGGCAGGCAGAGGGCCCACAGTGAGTGACTGGAGCTGTTTGGTTGCAGAGTGAAAATGAGGCTCACAGTTGCCTTCACTCACAAAGACAAAACGATGGACTACGCTAGTTCTCAGGATGTGCTTGGCTGGGGCCCCTCAGCCACAAGCTAAGAGTACCTGTGCTTGTCAAAGGAAGCAGTTTGGGGTCTCCTGTTCCACACTCTGTGATAAGGATCTAGGCTTCCACCACCTCCCGCTACCACAGTTTGGCATTTAGTTGGTTCTTAGGCCCACAGGGATGGACCCCTATCGGTCACAACTCATTTTGTGACACCTAGAGTTTCAGCTGAGCCCTGGAGGTCTTTCCAGGACACCTGCTTCCTTGCAGACAAGATGACTGAGTTCTTTCCTCTGTTCACATTGTGTGTGCCTGTGAGTGTGCAAATAAAATCAAAGTCCTTATTGCTGGGCCACAGTGGTGTAAAGGATGAGTGTGAGTAGCCTGTGCCCCTAAGAAGATGATTTAAGTTGAAACAGATTCCTTAAATATAAAGAATTTATGATAAAACTCAACAAATCCTGAGGAAAAAAATGCAACAGCGTTTTAAATGTTGAACAGTTTCCCTGCAACTCAGTGTGGTAAGCAAAAATGTTTCCTTCTTTCTTATAATGTTTTTTACCTATTTGTGTATAATTAACAAGCTTCCAAATGGAAATTCTTTCCTCCCCTGTGCTCCAATGTTGTTGAGCAGCACGCATTTCACTCTGTGTTCCTCAACAGTCCCCCAGCACACCCCGCACACATTTAAGTCTTACCTAAGAGTTGATCTCAAAGGCATACTTGACTTTTAAATTTGAGGTTATCAAAGAGTCTAGAAACTTCCTGCTTGCACCCTCACTTTCTTTAGTGAGACTGCTTGTTTCCTGGCGTAATTATAGCCCTTCATGCTGTCAGCATGAGACCATGAAAGTTTATTGAAATGAAAGAAGAACCAGGAAAGAAAGTGACACTGTTAAGTTATGGCACTGAGAACTAGCCCATCCTGGGCAGGGGAAGAAGGAAGACCAGCTAATACATAGGAGTCTCTGGCCCAAGCATGGCACAACTCCTGAGGTTAGGTAGAAGCACAGAGGGGCACATTCAGCCCCAGGTGAAGGGATAACAGCAGGGGGTGGCCGCTCTCTCCTCTGAAGTGACTCTCAACCCTCTCATAGCTTAATGGGAGTAAAAGCCACAGCATCTGAGAGGTGCCCTTGCTGTGTTCCCACAGCTGACTCTACCTTAGCAAATCTGCACCCTTAGCAAGGACCTGAGAATATCATCAGCACAGTTTTCCATTGACACACACCAACCCTGTGGCCTGAGAACTGCTCCATTCTCTCTGGAAGGAGAAGGGAGTGAGCTCCATGGTTTCTGCATTTTTATCTCAAAGCCTTGTTTATCACTGTCTTGGGGCTGAGTCTGCCACGTCTGCCTTCCTTTGCTAGGTCCTGGAAGGTCCTCAGTTCCTTGAAATAGTTACCAAAGACAAGTGAGCTACTGGAGAAACATCAGCATTAAGCATGCTTGTCCTAGAGCTGGGATCTGACCAGCTAGGACCTGGTATCCCACTGTTGTGTGCTGAGACTCTGGCTCACCCAGAGCCTTGTTTATGCATAAGGGCTGAGCTCCGTTCATCACTATATGAGATCTTTCCCCATCTAAGTGTAGTGGCCACATTTGACAACTAAAAATAACTAGGGGAAAGAGTGGACAGGTTGTTCTGTCCATTTTCACAGCTACTATTATGCATTACCATAACATTGAAGCTGCCAGAACAGTTGGTGTCCTTGCATGCTCACACACGAGGAAACCAAGTCTCAAATTAAATTATCTTCTCAAGACACATGACTTAGCAGTGTTGGTCGATTGTTCCAGAGATGATTTCCAAGTCTACACAGGCTACTATGCTACAATTTCTCAGATAAACAGGATTAAATAACATGTAAATCAAGGTATATCAATATGTCTGTGTAAATTGGCATAAAGATAAATGCTTTGATCAATACAAGAGATGGTAAATATATACATATGTGATAAATAGGTGATAAGTAGATAATTGATATATCATTCCTAGATAGACAGATGGTTGATAATAGAAGACAAATCAACACAGATAAGAAATAGATATAGATAACAAATAGATAGAAGATACAGACACAGTAGACAGACAGATGGTAGATATATAATAAGCATAGAGATAGACACAAATGGACAGACACACGGACAAATAAATAGATCAAATATAGCTAGCAGATAACAGATGCCAGGTAGCCTGGTGATTGGTTCCTTGGAATGAAAAGACTCCATTTCAGTCTATGAAGTATCTTACCTTTAGAGTGTCTCCTTCGAAGAGCTGAAAGATCCTGGCTCTGAGATGGATCCCCTTGCCGGCTTCCGTTTCTATTTTATAGATACACTCATGGTTATTATCGTAATTGGATGGGAAATTTGGAGACAGTAATGTTCCTTCATTTCCTTTGACACTTGCTCCACATTCAGCTAAAATAAACGGGACATTAAAAAAGAGGATTCAAAAGTGGAATTATTGATTAAAGTAGATTAAAGACTCCAACAGAATGACTCTCCAACCTCTATCAATGTACACCTGCTTCCCAAGGATATTCTCAAAAGCAGATTAGTGACAGGTTTTTAGTGCTTTACAACTCGGCTGGAAACACATCCCATTCATCTCAGTTCCAGGTTTTTTCTATTTCCACTAACTATATGATGCGTCTACTCAGATCCTGCACATTGCCGGGTAGAAGTTTTCGAATAAAATCAACATGCTCCAAGTGCCATGGTCTCTTCATTGTACCTCCTTTCTGACTCTTTATTGACCCAGGCCGACTTATCTGGTTTACTACTATATTGATGTAATTTTCCTTTGCTTAGGCTGTGTGACACCAACTAGGGTATGTTAAAGGGGGAACCTAAAGGCAGACAAAGCCACCAAATTATCTGGTCACATGGCATAGAGCTCAGATTACATTTGGGGATAGAAGAGCATTATGTGACAGGGATAGATTGCTCTCCCTTTTCATAATGAAAAAAAGGAGTCACTAACTTCCAGCACCAAATTTGCATGAAATAAAATACCTTTAGTCAAGGTAAAGCTGACAGTAAATGGGACTCAACTTTCTAGGAAGCCTGAGGAAACCATATAAGTATGTTTTCTCGTCTATGAAAATGAAGAATTCCATTCAAGAACTCCCTCAGCTCTAAAATGTTGAAGGGAAAATAATTACTAGTAAACAAAAGTAGCACACGCCACCACCACCACTGCCACCACTACCACAGCCATTGTCATCATCATCGTCGTCATTATCACCATCATCACCATCATTACCATCGTCATCATCATCACTATCATCA